ATAAAATATGACAAGGAACAGCAAGAACATTTTCTTAGATGAATGTGAAATAAGAGCTCCACCTCTGCATGACCCAAAAAAAAAAAAAAAATTAGAGCTGCAAAGTTTATACCTCAAACTATCTTTTGAGGCAGAACTTTTGAGTCAGGCCAATTTACACTCAAAACACAACATAATTTATCACTGGGAAGGATAGTACGATCAAAGAAAAACTCCACATGATAAATCCACACAAAGCTGCTTCCCAGCCCTGCACGATCTCATACTTACCAGTTAGCTTGCCGAGAAGGCAACAAGCCACAGCGAGGTCAAGAAGAACCAAAAAAAGTCAGGTTAGATGGTGAACAGTACAATTACTAACCAGTCACAAAGACAAAAAGAAGATACATTTCTCAGACAATAAAAATAAAGACATCAGCCACACACATTTAAGAGACCAGGATGATACTCTGCACGTAAGTGCTACTGTGAAAGTACACCACTTATGGAAGTGAAGAGCAATTTGCTTTTCAACCATATAGCCTCTTCATGTCTACGGTGACTCAGCTACAGCATGGAGAGGGCTTGTTACAAGGAAGTGGTCTGTAAACAACAATTAAAAAATAACCATCGATTAGGAAAGCATTTGGCTTGAAAAGCGTCTGGCAAGCCCTCTCCAAAGAATATCTGTCTGCTGGGAGTGGCAGATGTGCAGGCGTTTTAGGGTCAGTCTTGAAGGTTTCAGCCTCATAGACCCATGGCCCTATGAGAAGCAGAGACTTCATTGGAGCAGATTACCTGCATTATTACTACTTGCTACTAACTGACAACAGTATCTTCCCTCTATATAAATATCTGAGGAATGGTCCCTAACAAAATTAAAGGGTAGCTAACAGCCTTTATATGCAAGTTATCTAAGCTGTAATCACAGTAAACCATCTTATATTGTATTACAACAGGAAATCCAGTCATCCCTTTAGAAGTCCCTCTCTTCTGCTTGATGACACTCCATGTTCTGCACAGCCCCATCAATAGCTTTCCAGGACAGATGGTGACACAGATCCCCTCTAGCTAAAGTAATAGCATTAAATTACTCATAACAGGGAACCCAGAGAAGCAGATGCACCATGATTAGCAAGAATGCCAGTTACTTAAAGGCTTCTATTAAAATAAATCTCTTGGCACAGCAGCATAGCATGGGACACAGCACATGACCTCACCAAAACAATCACAGATGAATAATTCCCATGAATGTCATCTAAACATTGGGCTAGCCTAACCCTATTTATCATCTGCCCTTCAGAACAGGAGAAAAACGTCTGTAAACAAAGCCTTCCACTAGCAAAGATGGGTTGATCAGTTCTTAGATCCTCCATCCCCTTTCCCAGTCAGAAATGTGCCTCACTATCAGCTAACAACATGGGGCACATTTTGCAAAGCCTTACTCCTGCAAGCTTGTCCTGGCACAGCTGAGTGGGACCAGGTGACTAAACCCAACTCGTGTTTTTCCAGTGGGGTACAGCTCAGTAAAGGAATGATGGCTGACGCTAATAGAAACCCCAACAATTTGAAGAGTCTCACTACAGCTGGAAGAACAACATTCACAGAACAAGAATGCATAACGTTGGATAAACCAGCTAAGATACACCTTACCGTATGAGCTAGAGAAATATAGAAGTCAGGCTGTGGAAATTCAACTTGCCTTGTAGTGTCTTGCTTTTGGTGAATTAGAAGAAAAAACAACCCCAACCCCACCAACCAATGCAGTAATGCTCAGAACAACACCAAGAATAATATTATCCTAAACTAACAGAGTCCTTCTC